TATAGGGTTCAACGGCGGGAAGGGCGGAGGAATCAATTAAAGTCAGAAAAAGAGGAATAAAAACCCTAAAACAATGGGGCCATAGTCCCAACTCCCAATCCGGTTAGTATGACCACTTTGCTTACCCTCTTCTTACCGCAGATTTCGGATTTTTATAACTTATTATTATTAGGTCACCCACTGATCTCCCATATTATGAGATATGTCAACCATTCATCAATGGCATACCTAACGTTTTCTAATATATTATCATATCATTCATTAAACTTCCATTAATGACTTTATCAAAAAATTCTTTCATGGAGCTCGAATATTGAGCCATATATCTCCATCATCTCACATTCTGCACGCTGTTCTTTTCATAATCATTTCTCATACGCTTAACTCAACTTAGATAATTCCCACCATTAAATTTGCTTCTGTGGTTTAGACACGTACCATTATGTTATTCTCTTTGGATAAGATATTTCACGATCCTAGCTAAATGTACTCCAGTTGCATAAAGATGGAATATATTTCATCAATGCTTTGGCACATCAATGGACAACTTCTTAGACTTTGATGATTTCATGCGGAATGTGAAATGAGAAATGTATAAATGCAATATCAGTAGAATTTAGATGTCTTCTTCATTGCTTTCAGATAAAACAGAAATCACTGAACCAACTGATGTCAACATTTCAGAAGCTTTAACGGGAGTTTTGTATCATCTCTATGTTAAATTAAATGCGCGTAGGGTTAGTATGAACTGTGAAGGTCCTACCATGTACCAAACACTTTAGTTCTTGCATTTACATCACACCTTCGATCTAAGAAGTATGCGCACCCACATCCCACATTAAGCTCCTAGATATTTTGGCACCTACTACTTTTTTTTTTTTTTTTTTTGTGACTGGGACATTCGAGCTGGTTTACGTATTTTGACATTAAACATCTTATAAGTCAAATAAGTCACAAATATGATAGGTAACTATTTAGTGGGACTTATACACAAAACTTTTGAATAACATAAGGTCTTGTCATCTAATAAAATGGAGTAAACGACATTTTCCCACCCAAGGTTTCTTTGATGACATTTTCCCATCCAAAAAGTTTCAAAATACCAATTTATTACACAAAGTTTACATTTCGTCTACTACCCAAAATATACTTTCTGAGTCGACGGCAAATGAAAAGCAAACTCGGTTCAAGATATTAAGACTTTTGAAGAGGGGATGTCGGTGAGTCTTTTGACGGTGGTGTGTTGAATTTTGATGGTTGGGATTGGTTGAAATTTGACTTGAGAGGGACAGTTGCACGTTTCACAAATTGCTAGATTGCTAGTAATTAACGGGGTCAACAAGAGCAAATTTGAGAGGTTTTGGTTAATTATAATTGAAGAAGAGGATAGTAGTGATATGAAATATGTCAGAGTTGACTGATAATTGGTTGAAAATATAAACTTTAGATAATAAATTGATATTTTAAAACTTTTTAGATAGGAAAGTGTCATTAAGGCAAACCTTAGGTTGGAAAAAGTCGTTTACTCCAATAAAATGTTGAAAACCTTGTTCAACCACTAATATCATGGATTTATTTGATTTAGGTGAGATATATTACTATTGCTTGTTCAGTGTAGATGGGGAATTTATTTGACTACAAAAATTACAATAAAAATTCTCATCATTATTAAGAAGAGAAAATGACGTTGAGCATTTGATTTGAGTAGTTGCTTGGGTGGGAACATGTGTCTTTCCTGTAATAAATAATAATCTATACCGTACACAACACCTACCTCAAACCACAATGTCGTGGTCCCTTTCCCATCACATCTTTCGCCACGTGGTATTATTTAGTGTAAAAAAGAAAACAAACAAAATAACAACTGTTACGATGCCGTTTAAGTCATTATTATTTTAGGTTTCTCTATGAATTTCCCATGTTTAAGAGACGTTTTATTCAGTGGCTTTCGCTTGATTTGATTGGCCGGCGAGTGATAATACACGTGACAGAAGCTAGCACAAGCGTGGCTGTCTTTTGAGGGTCGTGACAAACCCATACGTCGGTGCACGTGCCTTCATGATCACCATTCAGGACCAAGACTACCGTGATTGACATCTATCGCTTTAGCTGACCGTTAACGTCGTTAATCACCGTCAATACGGTTCGCATTTTGATTCGTTGAAGACTCTTGATGGGGTTAGATTCTCACCCGTTAACGTCGGTGGAAACGGCTCTGTTAATCTGAGTTGTCAGTTTTGCCCTTTCAATTGTGGACGGAACATTCTTTCGTGGATTGCTTTTGTAACGCGCGTTAAGGATGTTTGTGCGAGATCCGTTTTCACGCGCGTAGGAAGATTAAATTACTGTATGTGATAGGGTATTATAGAAGTAAATAGTAAATGGAATCTCTGGTGGAATGGATCCTATGTGGAGTTCTGCAGCCACGTGGTTAGATTGAGCAACTTTGACTTGTATCAGCCTTTTGCTTTTCTTTATTTAAAGGAGGCCGGGAAGACTTTATTTTTTTTTTTCCTTTAAAATTATAATATAAACTTTTTTAATTAGTTATTTCAAATGTTCAATATAATCTACTAACAGTGCAAATGAAATAATTTAACTAATAAATATGGTTATTTTTAATATTGATTAAAAACAGTGATTCACAGAATATTCAACCGTTAGAAAGGTGAAATAATTAAGATTGATAGATAGAATGATTAATTAGCACATGTCCACCCTAATTACCGTTAACCGTATTAATTGTGTAGTACCAAGCTGAAAAGTTAGGAATTAGAATGCTTAATTCACACACAACATATATTCATATAATCTTTTTACTTTTCGAGTCAATAATTATTCATGAGAGTTTCTTCACACTTTGGGGCCTAGATGTCGGTTTGCCTCTTCTCTTCACACTTTAGGCCATACTTGTAAAGCAATTAAATTGGATTCTCTTCTCCTCTATTATCCACGTCTAAATGATTAATCTCAATTAAACCGTTTGCATTATGCCAAATTGGCGCCAATACTGGGAAAAGGCCGTTATTAGATGGCCGTTGGACAGTCCTATAATTGCGAATGAGGGGGCCTCGTTGTACATGCACCTAGGGGTGTGCCAAAAAAACCGTTAACCAGACTAAATCGATCCCAAATTTTTGGGTAATTATTATGAGGCGGAACCGGGTACTTGGTTTTATTAAAAATTTTAAAAAAACCCGGTTTTTTAATTTCCTTTCACTTTCAAATTTCAAAGGGCAAGAGGCAAAACAAAAGCCCCAAATACATTGTCCTAAAATTGTAGTAGGATCACGTTTAAGTGAATAAAAGCATAAAACATTAAGTAAAACTGGAAATGATAGAAAATAAAATTATGAATTGTATTTGTTTGTAAAACATTTGATGTTTGGTGTATATTAAATCTTAAGTATTTAAGTTATTGAATTAAAAGTTGATGTAGTGTATGGAATGAATTGTATCTTGTAAAAAATAAAAATTCATGCAAAGTTATGCAAATTCGGGTACCTACAAAACCAGATACCCTAAAAAGTGATTCAGTTTGTAGGTATCCTTTTAGGGGTACCCGGTTTTGCGCATCCCCGCATGCACCAATTAGGAATATATGTAATCCAAGTTGGATAAAGCTTGTAAGTAGAAAACTTGTCACTTGGTCGAGTACAGATTAAGCTCTTCTTAGACTGTAATTATCTCATTGGGGGGTTAATTAATGATTATGTTTAAGCGATTTCGTCTACCATGTTGTAACAACCATTAAAATTTGAAGTACAAAAATTTATATTTCTGTCGTCCCTTGGGGTATATATATATATATATAAAATTTGATAACTGAAGTGTTCGGACTAACTTATGCACACCTCAACTAATTTATAAGGTTTATTGAACATTCTGCAAATATAAAGAACAAGAAAAATCACAATATTATTATGGTAGATGACTCCAAAGCTTTAATAAAAAGACTCAAAGAATGAAGCAAACTTTTTAAACTGCTTAAACTAAATACTTCGGATATAGTTTGATTATGAAAATATACAACACTAAAATTTGAGGAATTTCTTGAGAGGGCCAGTATCAAGAAACTTCTTAGAAAGTACGTCACTGACCCCATAAGAGCACAGAATCTTAGTGATAATTTCCAGTGACAGACCAAGAATAAGCTTAGTGTCCCACTTAACTAGCAGACAAACAGCCCTGAAATAATTCTGTTTAGTGATGTTAATTTAAAGGCTAACAGATAGTATTAGCTACTCATACTACCCATTCCTTCATAAAAGAATATATATAATTATGTTCTGGTTGTGCTATTCAAAAGGTTAGCATTTACACTAAGTGATAAATCCCACAACTAATATTAATTAACAATTAGATAAAACCCAAGCATAAGGGAGTATAAATATTTGTTTAATGGCAATTATTAGTAGATTTTGGAATAGTGAAACAATTATTAGTAGTTCTCTGATTGACAGAGTGGTTCAATAGGAACTATTGGGTGTATTACTTAAGAGGTCATGAGTTCGAATCTCTCTTCAATTACTAATAGGGATAGCCATTGAAGCTCTTATCTGACCGGTAGTTTTAAGATCCTGAAGAATTTGTTAAGGTACGCATAAAATGACCCGGACATCACCGGTCACAAAAAAAAAAAAAAAAAAAAAAAAAAAAAAAAAAAAAAAAAAAAATTAGTAGTTCCATGCCCAAATCATAATCAAAATTTAAAGACTGCGTTCTTTTTAGTTGAAGCTGTCTTAACTCAGAAGCAATGCTAAATGGGCCTAGATCAAGATGGCAATAGATGGTCCAACTCACTCCAGGATTTATTGCTTTCACAGCGTAATAATTTTATGGAAGCCTGCGTAGCGTAATAATTTTCAAACTCTAACCCACTACGGCCCTTGGCGCACGTTTGAAAATTCCCTCTCGTAGTAGTCGGTAGTCTCGTTATTGAAGATCACTGTGCAACCAAAATTCAGAACTTCATTAACGTTACGTTAGATCGCTTCCAGTTCATACAAGAACCTAACTAATGCTTCATAAGCCAATACCATTCCGGCTCTACCTCACAAGATTTAATTACCAGCAACTTATTCTTAGAGAGCTTCGTACGAAGTCAAGTAACCGATACACGCAGAGAAATGGCGAGGACGACGAACTGAAGATTCGTAACCCAATTGAAAATCAAGAGGACAGATTATATTTCCACAAAAGCAAGGGTCAACATATCCTCACCAACCAACGAATCCTTGACTCTATTGTTCGGAAATCAAATATAAACCCCAATGATACGGTTCTAGAAATTGGACCCGGTACTGGAAACCTCACTCTCAAGCTTCTTGAAGTTTCGAAGAAGGTTTTTGCTATTGAACTCGACAAGAGAATGGAAGATATTCTCAACAAACGGGTAGCTGAACGTGGTTTTAAAGATAAGCTGACTGTAAGAATATTTTCATACCTGTTCGATAAAATGCCTGAGAGAATACTTAAGCTGGTGTATATAGTCACTAAATTTGAGTTTTTAATATTGCGTTTTGCAGGTTATATGGAAAGATGCATTGAAGGCGGAGTTTACACAGTTTGATCTTGTTGTGGCAAACATTCCGTATGGAATATCTTCTCCTCTTGTGGCGAAATTAGTGTATGGAACGAACCATTTTAGGAGTGCAACGCTTCTTCTTCAAAAAGAGTTTGCAAAGAGGTTGCTGGCGAATCCTGGTGACTCTGAGTTCAACAGATTGGCTGTGAATGTGAAGTTGGTGGCTGATGTAGAGTTTGTCATGGATGTAAGTAGAAGGGACTTTGTTCCTTGCCCGAAAGTTGATTCATCTGTGGTTATAATAAGACCAAAAGCAGATATACCGAAGGTGAATCTTGATGAATGGTTGGCTTTCACAAGAACTTGTTTTGGTAAGAAAAATAAAACACTAGGGGCAATATTTAAGCAGAAGAAAAAAGTGATAGAGCTACTGAGATTGTCCAAAAAGATGGGTCCAATTAATGAAAATGTTGAAATGGGTGACTGTTGTGGTTGTAGCGAAGAGGACGATGATGAAAGGGAGAGTGAAGGTGAAGATTTTTATTCATCTTCTTGCTCAGAATTGGAAGCAAGTTCGTTTAAGGAGAAGATTATTGAGGTTCTAAAATCAGGAGGATTTGAAGATAAGAGGCCTTCAAAGCTGTCTCATGAGTTATTACTGCATTTGCTTTCCTCTTTTAATCAAGCTGGAATAATTTTTCATGACCAAACAGAGCAAAAGAATGCAGGCAATACGGCATTTGCTGCATCTTACAATTCATAGCAACAGTAGCCTCTCCCTAACTTTATTTACAGTTCCCATTCTGCTCAGTTTGTCTTTGAATGATTATAGAATTAAAAACAATGAAATTCCTATTATTAAACCTAAAATAATATTATTATTATTATTTATTGAGGTTCAAGAACAAATTGGTTGGGATTTGGATACGAGCTTTCCTGAAAAATGAATTAAGTGTTAGGCCACTGTAAACAACTGCCTATGTAAGAAGTACTAGACAAATCAATATTGGATGGCCTAACGGTAAAATAGCGAAAGAGGTTTTATAAGTTCGAGTTTCTTCAAGCACTAATAGGAGTGGGCTAGGTGGTCATTGAGATTTTTATTCGGCCGACAGTTATAAGGTTTTGAAGAATTAGTTGAGATGCGTATAAACTAGTCCAGACACTCAGGTGATAAATAATAATAATAAAAGTACAAGACCCTTTTTCATTATCATTTAAAGGGTTGTTTGCAATCTTTATAAGAAAGTATAAGACAAATTTTCCGTGCTCCCTTAGAGGCCCAAATGCATTTAAACACCTAAAACTAATCACTAAGGCTGCTTCCCGAACCTAGAGAGACGGACGTATATTGAAACGCAACACAATTCACTAAAGATCGTTTCAAAACCAATCTAGGGATAACGATTTCAGGGTAGGGAAACAATTTCTAGGCCGGAAGTGGGGGACTGAGGCCACCATCCATGATCCTTGACACACCATATGAGTTGGGATATTCCAACCTTGAACAAGCTATTGTGTGTAGTGAATTGAATGAGTAGAAACATTAAAGACCATTTTATTTTCTCCCAATTTTCTAATTTCAACTTATTTTCTTTTCTTCATGTCCAGATTCATCTCGTTATGTTTTTCATAATTTTAGTATTATATTTTTATCAAACAAACAAATATTTAAAATAAAACAGAAAGTTTCAATAATTATGAAATTTTTTGGATTAAGTTATGAACATTTAGGGTTAGGTTTTATATATGATTAAATAATAAAAATCAAAACAAAAATATAAAATAGAGTATGAGCGTATTTAGAAATTATAATATTATTTTAGTAGTTTGAAATAAGGTTAAATTTGTCAAAATAAAGAATATATTAAAAGTGTAGGGCGTAGGTGGTAGCTAAAAGTTACTATTAGATAACTTGATAATAAAAAAATAAAAGAGGATCTAAGCTTATATGGTCTCCCGAGTTCAAGTCCCTACGACACGTAATAGGAGTGGCCATTGGAGCTCGAATCTTATCGATAGTTTCAGGGTTTCAAGAGAATAGTCGAGGTGCGCGCAAACTGGCCAAACACCTTGGTCATTAAAAAAAAAAAAAAAAAAAAAAGATCAATTCCCCATGTAATTGGATCTATGGCCCAGTTTCATTTTTAGGTCACAGACTTGGCTCGTCGTGCCAGCAGATAGTAATTGGATCTCGTACCACATAGGCCCACCAGATGTGCGGCAAGGCCAGCACTCTTGGGCTGGTGAAAGACTGGGTTGTTGACCTTGCCTGGTTTAAACTCGTAAGTCCAGGAGCCCAAACCCTTGAAACTAGCTCGTCTCAAATCCATTAACATTGCTGTGCACCGAGATCGCAGCCACTGACACTAACAGCAGTTCACAGTTGCAGTAGCACGAAGCTGAGAGATTTAACAAATGGGATTTGGAGTCCTAAGAAGCATCATTGGACCCCTATCAAGGACGGTAGTACCACGCGCCGCCACCACTTCTACTACGTCGCCGGTATTCTCCTCCTCTTTGTTCTTGAAACCCGACTTACGATGCGTATCGAGTGGCCAATCTCCATGGTTCCCAATTTTGCACCACTTTCACAGCTTAACCGACACACGATATCCAAAGCGAAGACCCGTTGACAAACCTCGTCGCAAAAGAGCCAGTTTGCGTCCCCCTGGTCATTACCTATTTCTTTCAATGATGTTTTAATGTATAATATCTCAGATTATTTAATTTAAATTAGGTTTTCATTATATAATTTACAGGACCGTATGCTTGGGTACAGCATACTCCTGGGCAGCCGATCAGTCCCAGCAATCCTAATGAAGGGAGTGTCAAGAGAAGGAATGAGAAAAAGCGCATGAGGCAGCGCCGTGCTTTCATTTTGGTCAGTTTAGTTTTCAAAATAATTTCTAATATTATTTATTTTCGACTTGTTCATTGATTAATAGTCCTTTTGTTCTGTTTAATTTGGAATACCAAATTCAGTAAATGATATATGTTGATTACATAGTATTAACAAGTTCGTTAATGAATAATTTGATTGTGGAAACTATATGGTTTTGGCATATAAACAGAGGTGGCTTGTAATTTAATTGTAGAAATGCTTGTATCTAGACATGTAGACTGAAATTAGTAGGAGAAAGGTTTTTGATAGATTAAAGCGGACTGGTGATTGCTTGCTTAATAAATTTTGTATTGAGTCGTGAAGTTGCAATTGTGTTTATCATTGCCTGATTGACATTTATAACTTTATCAATGTCTAACTTGGCTTTCTTTCTAATATTTTTGTTGGTTTTTTGGTAATTGGTTGTTTTGGTTCCTTTTCTAATTGATCCTTATTCTGTATTGTTGAATAAGTTTTACATGCTTGGATAATTCATGTTGTATACACCAATAAGTAATTTATGTAAGCTCTTTGTTTTCTGGCACTTAATCGTAGTTAGTGATATGTCCTCTTAATTATTCAGAAATTGCTCATAATTATTGCAGCTATTGGGTATTAATATCTTTAAAGCCTATTACGTATTTACTGCCTATCCTACATTCTGTTACATGGATGTGCAAATTTCAGTACTTGTACAGATTTAGGAAGGAGGATGAGAAGTTTCAATATGGTGTTGCACTATTTATAAAAAGTTAGTGTCGCTCATTCAAGTCTTTTCTGAGCTTGAATGATGTATTGTCACTTTACAATTTTGCTTATTGGTAGAGTCCTTAGAACCACTTTGTCTGTGAGCTTGCTAGCCATGAGTTTTCCTTGTGGATTTGTGAGTCATGCTTTGTATTATTAGTTTACTTCTTTAAATTTACTGTGTTGGTTGGTTTTCATTTGTTGGGATGGTCCTGATATCGATGTTTTTTATGTTCCTCCATGAAAATTTCCATGTGTATCAATCTGGATTATGTGAAGAGAAGAGAGCTTGGGATTGCTTGAATCTCTAAAGATCACTATCATTGCAATTATACTCCTAAAATGGCTCTGGCAGATTCATCTCTGCAGATTCATCTCTAACTCTTGCATGGAACTTTTACTTCTTCTTTTTTATCTCTGTTGAATACAAATTGATTATAACAATCATTGCTTGGCCTCTTGTTTTATACTATCTCTTAATGTTTCATGACTTTTAACATATTTTTGATGGAATTTTGCAAGGCATGTACTAATGCCTTTTGAATTGAATATCAAGAACAGCTTTGTTTTGAGCCTATGGTTACCTATTTTCATATTCTATTTGGCATAGTTTGAAGTTAATAGGCTTCTTCAGAAATTATTGCTGTTATGACCTTTAGTTCGTTTGCTATATAGTTGGATTAGGATGTCTAACAAATTGTTCTTTTGTTTTTTCAAAGTCTTGTCTGGCCTCCTTACACGTTTCTTGAATAATGAGGCTGCCTGATTATCTGCAGACTGCTTTTATCTATAATTTCAACTGGGTTTTTAATATATACAGGCAGAGGCAAAGAAGCGGAAAGCTCAGTTGCAAGAGGCTAACAGGAAAAAGAGAATTAAGAGGGTAGAGCGTAAGATGGCTGCTGTGGCAAGGGAAAGAGCATGGGCTGAAAGACTGGCCGAGCTGCAGCATCTTGAGGAAGCGAAGAAAAAATCTATGGCCTGAAAAGTTCTTGTTCAATTTCAACTTCAGATGTTATCCTGCATCTTACTTTTTTCTTGTTATTACTTATTAGGCATTATTGAACCGGTTTCTATAAAATCTCAAAGGTAGTTCCAATGTGTTAATTGGGCAGTGATGTTCTTACTTTACGAGGTTTGGCTCTGAACATAGGGCTCTATTTCTTTACACATTGTTCAATTCTAGGCTGNTGCTTTGTATTATTAGTTTACTTCTTTAAATTTACTGTGTTGGTTGGTTTTCATTTGTTGGGATGGTCCTGATATCGATGTTTTTTATGTTCCTCCATGAAAATTTCCATGTGTATCAATCTGGATTATGTGAAGAGAAGAGAGCTTGGGATTGCTTGAATCTCTAAAGATCACTATCATTGCAATTATACTCCTAAAATGGCTCTGGCAGATTCATCTCTGCAGATTCATCTCTAACTCTTGCATGGAACTTTTACTTCTTCTTTTTTATCTCTGTTGAATACAAATTGATTATAACAATCATTGCTTGGCCTCTTGTTTTATACTATCTCTTAATGTTTCATGACTTTTAACATATTTTTGATGGAATTTTGCAAGGCGTGTACTAACGCCTTTTGAATTGAATATCAAGAACAGCTTTGTTCTGAGCCTATGTTTACCTATTTTCATATTCTATTTGGCATAGTTTGAAGTTAATAGGCTTCTTCAGAAATTATTGCTGTTATGACCTTTAGTTCGTTTGCTATATAGTTGGATTAGGATGTCTAACAAATTGCTCTTTTGTTTTTTCAAAGTCTTGTCTGGCCTCCTTACACGTTTCTTGAATAATGAGGCTGCCTGATTATCTGCAGACTGCTTTTATCTATAATTTCAACTGGTTTTTTAACATATACAGGCAGAGGCAAAGAAGCGGAAAGCTCAGTTGCAAGAGGCTAACAGGACAAAGAGAATTAAGAGGGTAGAGCGTAAGATGGCTGCTGTGGCAAGGGAAAGAGCATGGGCTGAAAGACTGGCTGAGCTGCAGCGTCTTGAGAAAGAGAAGAAAAAATCTATGGCCTGAAAAGTTCTTGTTCAATTTCAACTTGAGATGTTATCCTGCATCTTACTTTTTTCTTGTTATTACTTATTAGGCATTATTGAACCGGTTTCTATAAAATCTCAAAGGTAGTTCCAATGTGTTAATTGGGCAGTGATGTTCTTACTTTACGAGGTTTGGCTCTGAACATAGGGCTCTATTTCTTTACACATTGTTCAATTCTAGGCTGAAACCTTGTATTTTGGCTGGCAGGATTAGAAAAATATAAAGACATTGTCCATTTTTGTTGAGCAAGTTCTCCACAAGGACCCCAACCTCCTTTGCAGCCCGTTCCGTCTATTCAAGATTAGCGAATGTTTCAAACAGCTGCTCTTGTAGATTTTCTTAAAACATATGTAAGGTGTTTTCTGTGAAAGTAGCTTAATCACCAATTATCACCAAGTTTTGTGCTGGAATGCTTTTTTTATATGTTGCCCCTTAAGAAAGGGAAATGTAACTTTTAAAATGCAATTTCTTCATTCATTTCGTTGCCAAAATTAATCTCTTGTCGAATAAAGTGTCTATGAACGCAAATGCAGTGTGATATGTGCAAAATGGAAGTTCACTGAGCTAGGTTGTTGTTTGAACTCAGAAATATTACTGATATTGTGAAGTTCCTGAAGCCCATTTCTCCTTTCCATTGAACTCTAGCGTTAACATCCAAAAGAACTGTCATGGAAATATGGTTTTGGGTTTTTAAGCTCCAAACTTGCAACAGTAGACTATACCTAAGAAGTATTAGACTTTCGGTTCCACTTATTGGTATGATGATTGAAGCTGAAAGCTCAATTATAATCCTGTCAGCATTAACTTGCGGGTCATTACATTCACACCGATCTTTTATTATTGTTCGGTCTCGTCTCATTTTTATAATTTAAGAGTCCCTGCTTGGCTACCTACTGTTGGAGCCTTTCTGTTCAAGTGGGACTGAATCCTGATGAGACTACTTCACTGATCTCTACACTGTTGTTGTCCAATGCTGACATCAGTGGGTCTACGAGCAAGAATCTGATAAAACTAAAAAATTTTGGAGTTGCCAATGCAGTCTCGGCTGTTAATATGTTAAGGTTTGGATCATGTAGATTCCCAGTAAGAGCAGGTAGAAATCAGAGAAATTTACTACCATTTTCTGTTTATGTATTTAGCAATTAGCTTGATCTCTCAAGCTAGTCGAAAGGGTGTACAGAAGGGAACTGAAACCGGCAAAAGGATTTTGGGCACACTATTGTGATTACCTTAGGACACGGAGTTGTACTATAGCTCCACCAACTCAATATTATTGAAGAGGGTATAGTGGCGCATGTGCTATTGCGTATGATCAAATCATCATGTCCCTTGATACATTCATAACCACAAATGTTATTATCAAATCAAACAAAATATTTTAATAGATGGAGACCAGAGTTAAATTCGGAGATCCCACTTGCATATATGCAAGTTAAAAGGACTGCAAAAATTAGAAGGGCCCAAAGATCCCTCCTGCTATGTAAAAGAGATGGTGACACCAGAACTAACAAGATATTATAGAGTCTTATAGATATAGCTTTTACATGATTAGCATTTCAATAAACCTTTTTGGTGCAAAATGCAAATGCCAACAAATGGATCTGTCTGGTGAGATTTAGATATATTATGCACGTTTTCTAGATGGGCCAATCTGATATGGTGGTTGCAGCTATCGACCAAAGCTTACGTCCTTACAGGGGTTACTGTGATTGGCAGCTTCTTCTTCATCTTGACGGTTGGAAAGTGGATAATTTCATCCTTTTCAGCAACCCATCTGCATACATAGCACACAAATTCAGAATTGTCAATTTAATTGCCTAACTTTAACTGTTTATAACAGACTGGATTTTGGCTTCGGATAATGCCTTCCATTAATGACACACTGCATTAATTTGAGAGCTAGATCATTACCCATAGCTAGTGACAAGATGATGAAGGAAGATTGAAATTTCCAGCCGTGATAATTCTAAACCAGGACACAGCCTCTGACCCCCACCAAACGGTGTGAAATTATTGTTGTTAACAGCAGCAGCTCCTGTTTTCTGGCAACAAATTAAGAAAACATGTTATAGAATATTTCTGTGAATGGCTAAACAAGATATATGCTCACTTGGTGTTGTCTAAGATAATTTTGAATGTCACGTGACTCATGTCAAAAGATTCATAAATGTATAGCGAACCTCCCATCTCCATGGATCAAAGTGATATGGATTATCATAGTTTTGTTCATCCATGTGAACAGATATAAATGACGTTAACACACACCATCCTTCTGGTATCAAATGACCTGCAAATGTAACCAAGCCAAATCAAATCGAATGGCGCCAGTATATGAATAACTGACAGTAACTAAAATTATTGGAAAATTGAAGGAGAAAGTAACCTTTGATATGTACATCTTTGAGAGCTTTCCTCCAAACTCCATTAATGATATTTGCCATTCTAAGAGTTTCACTGGATCACCTATAGTGTGTGCAAAATTAATCAATATAAAATACACATTAATTTGGTTTTAATCTTTTCTTTTATCATTCCAACTCACATTTTAGTAAATGGCAAGACATGTAGTCAGTCCAACTAAAATCTTCACATGACTCCGTCTTCTGCCTCTTCAATTCCATGTTCTCCTCCTTCACAATGAGATATAAAATCAGCATATATATATAAATGCTATTCCATGATTTTCGATACCCCAGTAAAGGAACACTGAAACGGTTATGACAGTATGAAAAATTCATTACGTGAATATGGCAAGCTTCTGTAGTACATGACTGAAGGAAAATTAGAGCAGGCTGTAAAAGGAGCTATAATTATCACCTACTTTTCCTCGCATGTCTTAATGTTAAAAGAATAACGTTCCGAAGCAAAAGGTTAGGTTTTTGTGATTTTTTATGGACTGAGACTGAGACTGGCCACACCATTTAATGGCTGGTCCGTCGTGACCACTACGTGTCTCTGTAACATAGTTGTTTATCACCCCAACTTTGCATGCTAATTGAATCATGTGAACCAACCAATGTCTTCTCTCTATTGCATAGAGGGATACCATCTACAATAAGCCGACATGACCTTCCACTCACCACCACCACATTTATGCTCCAACTTAATTATCTAGGACTTGAATTTATAAGTCCCTTCCCCTTCCCTAAATTCAAGTCCCTTCCCCTTCCCCTTCCACCATCCCCCCCCCCCCCCCCCCCCTAAAAGTATACTAACAATACTTAAATATAATTTCTAGTCTAGTTGCCAAAGGTATTGTCTACTTTGGACCCTAAGGCTCACACGAGTAGACACATGATAGCTGCGTTTGTCCTGAAAATGCGTCTCATTTTGTTCCACTTAAGAGTGGGCGCCTTTGCGTCTCTTGTATGGAAGGAGCCTGCCCTTGACCATGTAAGAGAGATTGTTCGTTTCATTGAAATAGCTCACGATTTTGTCTCACTTAGGAGTGAACGTCTCTGGATGGTGAGAGTGTCTTTGTACTATATAAACAATCAAAACTCACGTCTCCTTAACTATGTAAGACTTTGACACTAATAGTCCAAAATATAAGAATTAATTTTTATTTTTTTTAGTTAGTAATATTAAATTTTAACAATCTTTTAGTGTAATACCCATTTTTGGTACATCGAATTAAATTAAATATTATAAAATTTTGGTGAAAAAATCGTTTTCAGATGCGAAAGAATCAAAGAAATTAAAGTAGTTTGCAAATGGACAGAGAAAAAGCCCCACCATGTCTGAACAATCTAATTAACGCTCTTAATTAGCAGTTAAGAGAGGATTAATTGAAAGTCAACCCTCCACCTGTTTTGGCCAAACTATAATAATTTTTAATTCTGAAAAAAAAAAAAAAAAACTGACACACTGACTAATGTATGATAGCAACGGTCTCAACTCGCACAGACACAGAGTTAATAGGTGGTCCTCACATAACAGCCGTTCAATCTTTAACGTACGGCTGAAAATGTCTATAGCATGTTTCACTAAAATGTGGGTCCTCTCACGAACTCTCCATCTCAGTCGTGCATCCATTCGTGCGTTTAATGAAAATGACTTCTCAACAAAAGTCAAACACTTTAGCGGACAACTTAGGACCGCCGAAGTGGAAAATGATCCTAACCGTTGGATCAAAAAGACGATATCTCAAATCTAAACGCCATATAATTTACGTTAAGTTAACGTACCGTAAGTTGCTTCAGAGCGACGGCGCTGTCACTGAGGAATTTGACAGCTAGGGTCATTGCCGTGGGCATAGTCTCTTCTCCCGGGATCATCATCTCTATGATAATTCCACTAATGAAATCCAACGGTAAATATTGCTTCTCATTTGCTTCATTATTATCACGTAACAGCACGTCCACTACATCCTTTGCTACACCTTTTTCATCTGATTTCTCCATAGCTAGTTTTCTCTCTTCTACGATCCGCTTCACCATCTTTAATAGCTTCTCCTTAGCCTGCATGTACAGATACATCGCCATTATATAAAATTGCTAACTATGAAAAAGTTTTTGTGTTGTTTTCTAATTGATTTTTAATTTTCATTAACTACCTTCAAAGATTTATATAGTCTTGTTCCAGGAAGTTTAATTGGCAAGCAAATTAAACCCTTGATGAATTCTTCAAATTCTTTCTTCAGAAAGTATAAATCTTCTCCAGGACGAATGCTCATCAATACCTTTACCAGAACTTCAAACGTTGTCTGAGAACAAGCAAAAGTTCTATTAAAATTGAGTATTATTTCAATGGTACGAGTACATAGATGTTATATATCATCATTCAGAAATGACCTTTTTGATTTCTTCTTGAACGTATATAAGGTGCATGTCTTTCCAAGTAGCCAAGGTCAGCTTGACAGAGTTTTCAATGTCTTTTGTGATTCTGGCTTTGAGTTGTGGTGATCTCAGGAATCCACCGATCTGTGCATGCACTCTCTTCTGAAGATTACCATTCATTTGAAGTATGGAGAAGTCTCCAAGTAATTCTCTTATTGATTTGGGATAAGCAGGGACAAAAGTGTTTCCATGGTTTTGCAAAACCACTTTGTTAACGTCGGGATCTGTGGAAACTATTATGGGCGTTCCCAAGATGTGTGTTTTAAACACATTCCCATACCTATAGAGAGAAAAAAGAAAGAGTTCATCAGTTCAGGTATGAAATTAAAATGTTCATTGGAATTAAGGCTGTGGTTACTGCCTGTACAAGCAATAGGATCGAGTGTTTTGTATGGTGTAGTTAGTTCAGGATTGGACAGGGTATGTTCTACGAGCTTTCATTCAATTCTAGGGACTACTCCTTTTTTGCTGATAGTTTTGTTATCAATGCCATCATCTGTGTTGAAGATCGCAAGGCATTAAGAGTAGATTTCGGTCATAAATGAGGCATAAATATAATTGCTCAAGAATTAATATGCCGTGTGTGGACAATTAAGGTAATTCACAGCACAAACTTCCATAATAACACTGTACCTTCATCTCTTCCGATTACTTCCTACTTTGTATTAGTGCACATCACACTAAGCATAAAACAAAAATCTGTTCCTCTATGTTCTTTTTTCCTTTTTTTTTTTCTCTTTTGATGAATAGGGAGAGATGGTTTTTAACAGTTTCTTCATCAATCTATTATATGATTGACATGTGAGAGAAATATAAGAAAATAAATGCAACCAGTAAACAATATAAAATTAAGCAATGTTTATTTTTTACCGTACTATCGACAGACTTGAGTGTTGTATAGTGATCTTGTTACAATACGTAAATGAATATGGTACTTCATATAGAAACATCAATTTTGAATTAATTTTGTTATATAAGCACATGCAGCATCATCTAATGATCATCATATTAGAGAAATAAATAAAAGAAAGAGATAAACTATAGCCAGAGATCATAATTTATCTTGCAGATCTTTAAATCGTTCCTTTCTTTTGATCAACTTTATCCATGTTTCAACACAAAAAGATAAGAATGACTTAGAGGAAAAAAAATATAGATAACTTCTGCAGCCATGGAGAGCAGAGGACAGGAAGAAATTTGGTTGTTGCAAGAAAGGATCATCATATATATATATATATATATATAAGAGGGAGGAAGCAGTAATGGATGAGACAAACTTACAGAGATTTGCGTTTGTCCATGAAGCTGACAGGTTGAGAGGTGTAACCACAGGCAATGAAGTCAAGAGTTTCTCCTATGAAAGGCCAACCTAAGTTCCCTTTTGGAACTCCACTCTTCTTTTTCATTTTGTTCTGCTTACTATACCACAGCAGCCATAGACCAATAATTATAATACCCATCAAAACCCAACATTCCTTAGTCCATACCATTCTCACAAAAACCTTTGCTCCACTTTCTTAGAAAACGATCAGCTGATCAAACCCTAAGACTAAACCTGCAACATCTTTTAAAGATTAATCATCAATACTCCCGGGGAAAAACTTCCTAGGCCATGACTCCATGCAGGTTTATATTATACTGTTGTATGTGTGGGAGGGCTGAAAGAGAGAGAGAAAAAAAAAAGGTTAGAGGTTTGAACGGAGGAAACTCCTCTTTGTTCTAGTGAGGGGAATTGAATGAGAGGGGTATAGATATCTAGAGAGGGAGATTTGGAAGATCTAGGGCTTTGCCACTATCATTAATTGAGGTGGCCATATTGGGTGCACCAATTGCGCCACGCTTGTCATTTTGTCTTCATGTCATTTAGATAGGTCCCTTGCTCATTTAATACACAATGGATGGGTGGTGGTGTTCCATACGAACATTTGGATAAATGGACCTGGAAGCAAATTTAAGAACAAAACTAGAATGTTGGGGGATGTTATCAGTAGTGGCCTCTAAAGCCCTCTGACTGTCAACTCATTTAAGAACTAAAAAGAAAAAGAAATGGCTGGGTATGATATGAGTTTTGTGTTTTCATTTAATTTATAATGAGATGATAAGAAACCAGACAATAAATAATGATTTTTTTGTTGATAAAAATATTGATTTGGAAGTAAAAATTGAAATCTCTTTGGCCTTTTTGGTGTCTTCTGGTAGACAGGGAAAGAAAAATGAAGAAGGGGTGCATTTTTCTTGGTTAGTTACTTTTTTTACTTAACTACTGTTGGTTAATTTGACGGTTCATTTGGGATTCTTGGTATATTATTCTAAATTTGAATCTCTAAGACTACTAATAAAGTATAATTATTAGAAATTTATATGACCGTTAACTTTAAAGTCTTGAAAGATTAATCGAGGTTCGAGCCTTAAATAAAATAAAATAAAAAAAACATCTTTACTTTATAACCGATTACATTTGAACTGACTCTGTAAAAGTGTAAAGTACTCTGAAAGATAATAAATCTCAACGTAATGCTTGTCTGATTCAAGCATCAATTCCATTAAAACGCTGGTACTTACCATGTTCTACTATAGTTAATTTTGACCTGATTTTGAAAGAGTTGGATACGTTAAATTTATCTAATGTACTCAGTAATGGTTCACTTAAGCTTGCTTTGGCATTAGAGGTTGGAGACATGAATAGCATTAAGGGTGGATAGTACCCATCCAAATACAGTGAAATGAGCTTTTAGTAAACTGAAAGTAAAAAAGAAGAAGATGATAAAGAGGAGAAGTCTAGTCGAGAGCAGAGAGCACGTGTTTTGAAGAAAGGCCATGGGCCGATGGGGGAGGGCGACGAAATTGTCAGGCCCTTTTCTTCCATCAGCTTTTTTCATTATGGGAACAAACCAAACACCATCGTCTTGTCTTCATCATTCTTCAGACTTCCCCCACTCTCTCTTTCATGCACATTATATACAGCTTCTGTTTATGATGCACGCCATCTTTTTAGGTCACTGTTGTGACTTATGACCCAACAACGATTTTAACTCTGCCATTTCACAATGGTTGGACTACCATTGCAAGTAAGTGGTCCGATTCCTGCATGTGAACCATGTGGGGAATGCCCATGCGCTGTGTTGACCACTTTTTATATATGGGGTAATGAACCATGCAAATGCAGTCACTAGAGTATTCCGGTATTTTCTAATCACCATTTCATTTTGGAGTAAACGCCTTTTTTCCACCTAAGGTTTACCTTGATGATACTTTCTCGTCCTAAAGTTTCAAAATACCACTTTTCCATCTAAAATTTATATTCTGTTTACTACCCACAATAACCCACAATACACTTTCCGATTCGACGGCTAATAAAGAACAAATTTGATCTAGACTGTTGAGGTTTTTAAAGAGAGGATATTAGTGAGTATTTTGATGATAACAGGTTAAATTTTGATGATCGAGATTGGTCGAAATCTAACTTGGGGGAGGACAATTGCGCATTTCACAAATCGCTCGATTGCTGGCGATTGTTGGGTTGACGGGAGCAAAGTTTGAAGGGTTTTGATGAATAATAATTAGTGAAGAGAATGATAGTAGTGTGAGATTGTAAAGATATCAAAATTGGCCTGTGATTAGTCAGAATATAACCTTTGAGTGGAAAAATTGTATTTTAAAACTTTTTGATTGGAAAAAAACCTTGGGTGGGAAAACGTCGTTCACTCTTTTCTTTTTGATTCAATCAGTCAAATTGTAATCTTGCAATCTTTGATTGAGTAATTAATAGTGCAAACACGAGAAACAGCAGTCAATATCACATTATTGAGCTCAGATCAGGAAATGCGGATTACTTTCAAGCAAAGTAATACAGCGCAATGCCAAAAGTGGTGAGGTAGGGTTTGGGAATCAATTCCGTACTGTGTACCAACCAACAATCTAAAGAGGAGAACAAATGAAGAAGAAAGAATAATGATCGTTCCTATAAAATTTCAAAGTAAAATTTTCAACCAGAGACTAAAAATACCAAAAATTTGCCCGTACAAGCAATTTTAAAGTTACAGCTGCTGGACAGTGACCTTTCAAAGCTTTGTTCAATAATGCATTTCCTCAGGCCCCCAAATCCTTTCATGGCGCGGCCAACCTAACGCATAATTACATCAAACTTAGTTTTGACTTTCAAACAAGATTCTTGATACCTCAGCAAGAAGCTGCTCCACCATTGCGAAATATGAATAATTACTATCTTGAACTAATTATATGAAATGTAAAATAGCAGGCACATCCAGAGGCAGTGACGTTTCAACTTCTACTTGCATAGGCAAAGGCTTCTTCATACACGTTGTAAAATGAACTTAATTTAGTTATAGCAAGTGCCTCTCCAAAGAGTGATGCTCGTGAAGATTTCAATATTCGAACTTCTACATAGTCACCAACAATTGGGTTCCGCTTATCACTCTGACCATCATCTCTGTCTGGCAATGGCAGATTAGTAAACAAAACTTTATGGCCTCTATCACTTTTGCCAATAAGCTCTGTATCTGGAGCTTTCTTGTTAGGTCCTTCAACCAGCACAAGTTGGATGGTTCCCACCTGCGAGTCATAAAACTGACCTGTACTCTCACGAAATGCTTCGATAAGTTCTGTAAGCCTCCTCTGCTTAACTTCCTCAGGAACATCATCAACATAATTCCTATGGGCATGGGTTCTCTCTCGCATACTGTACGCAAACATATATGCCATATCATAACCAACAGCTTTCATTAGGCTCAGCGTGTCTGCATGTTCTTCCTCTGTTTCCCCACAGAAACCTGTAAAAAGAAATCCAAATAATAAATTGGTAACTCTAATAACTGAGGCATAACTTTTCACAGAAAGAAATTCAAGAGAAGTGGCCACAAGTTAGTTAGGGGCTGCTGTTCTGCCAGGAACACATCTATTGCTCATCTAACTCCTAAAGCTATATTAACTAGTAAATGTGGCACATTCTCAAATAGGGGAGGGATTGTGAGGAGAAAAGAATTTTTAGCTTCTAATAACATATCACTGGAAGTACTCATCTACCACTCTTCAAGCACAGAAATATGAAAAAACAGAAATATATTCAGATCCGGACACGTTAACACAAAGCGTAGTTTGTGAAACAAACAATAAAAGCTACGCGCTTCTATAAGGACATGTGTATGAGTACATAAATTGCTCGGCAAAGGTAGGAGAAGTTCAGCACAAGATTGTTAAACGGTAACATGTCACTGATAAGAGTCTTCGGAATTTAGGTTCAAAGGGTTCAAAAAAAAAAATTAAAGTTAGATAATGACTGTTCATCTAATTAGCACTCCTAAGTGTGAAAACATACGAATTCCATGTGACTAACCACCTCCATGAAGGCTATGATTACTACTCAAAACAGAAACTAGGCCTGAAATATAGTTATGATGAGCCATAAATGAAAGTCTAGCATCCTTAGAGCATAATGTTATCTTCAAAATATATCTTCAAAAGTTATGAATGCATATAACAAATGTTACATCAAAATTCATACTATACCAACTGCTCATATTAATAGCAGAAGGAAAATTATAAGATAATCACTTACCACAAATAAAATCACTACTTAATCCCACATCTGGAATAATTCTTCGTATCTTTTGCACAAGATCCAAGTATGCCTCTCTGGTATATCCCCGACGCATTCTTTCAAGTACTGTGCTACTCCCCGTTTGGGCAGGCAAATGAATATATTTGCAAACATTGTGCCTGTCTCGCATTATATATAGTAATTCATCAGGAAAATCTTTAGGGTGTGGAGATGTGTATCTAAATCTCATCTCAGGAAACTCTGTGGAAAGTCGATCCAAGAGATCAGCAAAACGTAAACCCATTTTTTTCACCTTACTCATGCTGGAAAAACCTTCACTAAATCTCCAATTAGCTCCTGGTTCAACTTCTTTTTCAAATCCGGATGTATCATTATAGCTGTTTACATTCTGCCCGAGAAGTGTTACCTCCTTCACGCCTTCTTTCCAAAGCCCTGCAACCTCCTTCACGATTGATTCCACTGCACGTGACCGCTCTCTACCTCTAGTAAAAGGAACAATGCAAAAAGAGCACATATTATTGCAACCCCTCATCACTGATACAAAAGCAGTAACTGAATTTTTTGAGATTCGAACGGGACTAATATCAGCATAAGTCTCCTCAAGTGAAAGAAGAGTGTTGATCCCCTTCTGACCATAGTCTACCTCTTCTAATAAACGTGGCAAGTCCCTGTAAGCATCAGGACCGCACACCACATCAACCATCTTATCAGAATCCAGTATCTTTTCCTTTAGTCTCTCAGCCATACATCCCAATACAACTATTTTTGGAGGGTGCAGAGACTGTGATCTTCCTGTAGCAACATTTTTCTTCCATTCCCTTTTTAAAAACCAAAAATAATTAAGCCTCTGCCATACTTTATGTTCAGCATAGTCTCTTATAGCACAAGTGTTGATAAAAATGACCTCAGCACTCTCAGGAACATTGACAACTTCATTATATCCAGCATTCTTCATGATGGAAAGGACAATCTCCATATCATTTACATTCATTTGACAACCATATGTCTCCTGATATATACGACCTCTGGTAGGGATGTCAGAATCAGGCACTGAAGGAACTTCAGAAGCCGGCACAAGACTGGACAGAAATGGAAAAAAAAAAGTACATAAAACTTAAGCATTGAGTTCCACGATACAAATTATCCACCCGTCTAAGACAGAGCATCAGTAAATCAAATATTCAAGGCATAAGACTTCCAAACATAAATAATAACAAAATTTTACTGGCTCATAGGTACACTGCATACATACATATAACCCAAATATATCCTAGCTACCCACCTGTTTAAGACAGAACCATCAGTAAATAAAAGATTCAAGGCATAAAACTTCCAAACATAACTAATAACAAAAAATCACTGGCTCGTAGGCACACTGCATACATACATATAATCCAAATACATCCTAACATCCACCCGTTTAAGACAGAACCATCAGTAAATCAAATATTCAAGGCATAAAACTTCCCAACATAACTAATAACAAAATTTTACTTGCTCGTAGGTACACTGCATACATACATACGATCCAAATAAAGTCTTAACTATCCACCCGTCTAAAACTTCCGAACATTACTAATAACAAAATTTTACTGGCTCGTAGTCGTAGGTACACCACATACATAACTAGAATCCAAATATAATTCTGTGAATTTCTATTAAATTCACATTATAATGGCAAGACAAGCAATAATATAATATAAAGGAGTAAGAACAAAATGAAGCTTAGCAAGATAAAGATAATTCATAACTATAATAAGAAGAATCAGTTGCGAATTCCCAAATCAACTAGTCTATGTATATGTACACATAAAATTCCAAGCACGTAGGTGAAAAAGAGGAAGCTTACTCGGGCAGGGGCAGGGGCAGGGGCAGGGAGTCAGTGAGTGAAGCATGGGCGATGAAGTGGTGAAGTGAGGGACCATCAGCAAGACTGGATGACTGGGAGAAGTTTCTACAGAGATTGAGACAAGAGCTTCGCTTGAGTTGACGAATCACGAGACGGCGATAGCAACGTGAATTGAAAGAAGGCCGGGGAGTTGAAGAGAGAACTTTGAGGCTTAGACAGCACCGTTTTTGAATTCTGATGCAAAGAAGAGCGCATTGTGGTTGGTTTAAGATCGATGGGAAAGAAGACGCCATTGAAAGGCAGGGACACTTTGTTTCACCGTATCGAGCAACTGGGAGTTAGATAGGGATTTGGAGGAGCTAAGCTCAGCCGTAATTCTGAAACGCACCCGTTTTATGATTTACCTAAAACGCAGCGTTTTATGATGTTATCCCGTGTATTATAAAGTCAACCGCAATTTATCATGTGAGACTCAGGTGGAACCTATTATGAACTAACCAATTATAAGCTGTTATGTCAGGATTGTGAGAAGAAGTTTGTGATAAAAGGTTATGGGTGTAGCATTTTCCTTTTTATTACAATATTCAACTGAAAAGAAAAGAAGTTTTATGGTCCTTTCGACTTTACTTTCTTAATATTTTGTCTTCTTTAATTTATTACACTTATACCACTAAGATTATAACATGGTATCAGCACGAAGAGCTTAACAAGTATAATGGTGCATGTCTACTGAAAGTACGTATTTTCAACCTTGTACATGTTATTTGATCCCTGTTTTCTGCCTTTATGGCTAAATTTATTTATTATCATTAAATTTTGCGTATTTTCAATCCTACATGTGTTATTTAATCTCTATTTCCACCTTTATGGTTGGATTTACTTATTATTATTAAATTTTACCTCTATGATCGGATTTATTTATTATTATTAAATTCTGCCTCTATGGTCAGATTTATTTATTATTATTAAATTCTACCTCTATGATCGGATATACTTATTATTGCTAAATTTTGTCTTTATGGTTTGATCTATTTATTATTGTCAAATTCCGCCTCTATGGTCGGATCTATTTATTATTGCTAAATATCGTTTTTATGACTAGATTTATTTATTATTGTTAAATACCACCTTCATGGCTGGATCTATTTATTATTGTTAAATACGGCTTTCATGGATGAATCTATTTATAATTGTCATTCTATTTATCGATTCTTTACAATTATTTATAAGCGGTGAATATCCCAGGGAGTGTGTTGAAATTGACCATCCACCGCCTTAACATGAGGCGGTGAAAAGTAGGGGATTTTAGTGGTGTTCTTTAATAATAACTCCAGAAAGGTAAAGTAAATAATAGGGACTAAAGTGAGAGAATTGAGAGCTGTGAGTAATGTTTACTTTCTCAAACTTTTTGGATTCAACTGGATTCATCACAAATGAGAGGGGTGGGAGGTTATTTATAGCCCCCCCTCCCCAACCTCACTTTTCACTAGGGGTGTTCGGTTCCGGGTACCCTACATTTTTGGAAGGAACCGGAATCAGAACCGACGATTCCTTGACTTTCGGAACCGGAACCGGAACCGATGGTTCCGGTTCCTTGAATTTTGGAATCGAAATCGGAACCCCGGTTCTGGGTACCCTGTAAAATTCATTATCCCCCCCAAAGTTTTTAAAATAACAAAAAAACTCTTAAAAACTTACAAATACCCCCCACTTTCACTAGTTAGAGCATGCATAGCAAAAGAAAGCAAGTATTGGTTCCTTTTAATTCAGATTTGTGATTCTGGGCTTGTAAAATGGCTACCAGAGCAATGGACTCACTACACAGAATCCAAAGTTGAAGGCACATTTGGGTTGGTAAAACTAACATTTACAACTGCACTTATCCAGCAGTGATCTTACTTCATAAACGCACTCATTTGTTTCCGACAATTATTGCAGCTATCTTGCCCCTGAGTTTTTGATGCATGGGATAGTAGATGAAAAAACTGATGTCATTGCCTTTGGTGTATTGCTATTGGAACTAGTCACCGGACGCCGAAAAAACTTTATGGCCTCTATCACTCTTGCCAATAGCTCTGTATCTGGAGCTTTCTTGTTAGGTCCTTCAACCAGCACAAAGTTGGATGGTTCCCACCTCTGAGTCATAAAACGACCTGTACTCTCACGAAATGCTTCAATAAGTTCTGTAAGCCTCCTGCTTAACTTCCTCAGGAACATCATCAACATAATTCCTATGGGCATGGGTTCTCTCTCGCATACGTACGCAAACATATTGCCATATCATAACCAACAGCTTTCATTAGGCTCAAGTGTGTCTGCATGTTCTTCCTCGTTTCCCCGCAGAAACCTGTAAAAAGAAATCCAAAAAATAAATTGGTAACTCTAATAACTGAGGTATAACTTTTCACAGAAAGAAATTAAGAGGAGCTGCCACAGTTAGTTAGGGGCTGCTGTTCTGCCCGAACACATCTATTGCCATCTAACTCCCAAAGCTATATAACTAGTAAATGTGGCACATTCTCAAATAGGGGAGGGATGTGGGAGGAAAGAATTTTTAGTTCTAATAAACAGATCTGGAAGTACTCATCTACACTCTCTTCAAGCACAGAAATATATTCAGATCCGGACATGTTAAACAAAGGTAGTTGTGAAACAAACAATAAAAGCTACACGCTTCTATAAGGACATGTGTATGAGTACATAAATTGCTCGGCAAAGGTAGGATAAGTTCAGCACAAGATTGTTAAACGGTAACATGTCACTGATAAGAGTCTTCGGAATTCAGGTTCAAAGGGTTCAAAAAAAAAAAAAAAAAAAAAAAAAAAAAAAAAAATTAAAGTTAGGTTATGACTGTTCATCAAATTGGCACTCAAGTGTGAAAACATACGAATTCCATGTGACTACCCACCTCCATGAAGGCTATGATGCTACTCAAAAACAGAAACTAGGCTGAAATATAGTTATGATACCATAAAATGGAAGTCTAGCATCCTTAGAGCATAATGTTATCTTCAAAAGTTATGAATGCATAAACAAATTTACATCAAAATTCAACTATACCAACTGCTCATATAATAGCAGAGGAAATAAAAGATAATCATTACCACAAATAAACTACTTAATCCCACATCTGGAATAATTCTTCGTATCTTTTGCACAAGATCCAAGTATGTCTCTGGTATATCCCCGACGCATTCTTTCAAGTACTGTGCTACCTCCCCGTGTTGGGCAGGCAAATGAATATATTTGCAAACATGTGCCTGTCTGCATTATATAGTAATTCATAGGAAAATCTTTAGGGTGTGGGAGTGTATCTAAATCTCATTCAGGAAACTCTGTGGAAAGTCGATCAAGAGATCAGCAAAACGTAAACCCATTTTTTTCACACTCATGCTGGAAAAACCTTCACTAAATCTCCAATTAGCTCCTGGTTCAACTTCTTTTCAAATCGGATGTATCAATAGCGTTTACATTCTGCCCGAGAGTGTTACCTCCTTCACGCCTTCTTTCCAAAGCCCTGCAACCCTTCACGATTGATTCCACTGGACGTGACCGCTCTCTACCTTAGTAAAAGGACAATGCAAAAAGAGCACATATTATTGCAACCCCTCATCACTGATACAAAAGCAGTAACTGAATTTTTGAGATTCGAACGGGACTTATATCAGCATAAGTCTCCTCAGAAAGAAGAGTGTTGACCCTTGACCATAGTCTACCTCTTCTAATAAACGTGGCAAGTCCTGTAAGCATCAGGACCGCCACACCACATCAACCATCTTATCAGAATCCAGTATCTTTTCCTTAGTCTCTCAGCCATACATCCCATACAACTATTTTTGGAGGGTGCAGAGACTGTGATCTTCCTGTAGCAACATTTTTCTTCCATTCCCTTTTTAAAAACCAAAAATAATTAAGCCTCTGCCATACTTTATGTTTTAGTCATAGTCTCATAGCACAAGGTGTAAAAATGCCTCAGCACTTCAGGAACATTGACAACTTCATTATATCCAGCATTCTTCATGATGGAAAGGACAATCTCCATATCATTTATTCATTTGACAACCATATGTCTCTGATATATACGACCTCCGGTAGGGATGTCAGAATCAGGCACTGAAGGAACTTCAGAAAACCGGCACAAGACTGGACAGAAATGGAAAAAAAAAAGTACATAAAACTTAAGCATTGAGTCCCCACGATACAAATTATCCCCCGTCTAAGACAGAGCATCAGTAAATCAAATATCAAGGCATAGACTTCCAAACCTAAATAATAACAAAATTTACTGGCTCATAGGTACACTGCATACATACATATAACCAAATATATCCTAGCTACCCACCCGTTTAAGACAGAACCATCAGTAAATAAAAGATTCAAGGCAAAACTTCAAAATAACTAATACAAAAAAATCACTGGCTCGTAGGCACACTGCATACATAAATATAACCAAATACATCCTAACATCCACCCGTTTAAGATTAAAGCCCTCTGACTGTCAACTCATTTAAGAACTAAAAAGAAAAAGAAATGGCTGGGTATGATATGAGTTTTGTGTTTTCATTTAATTTATAATGAGATGATAAGAAACCAGACAATAAATAATGATTTTTTTGTTGATAAAAATATTGATTTGGAAGTAAAAATTGAAATCTCTTTGGCCTTTTTGGTGTCTTCTGGTAGACAGGGAAAGAAAAATGAAGAAGGGGTGCATTTTTCTTGGTTAGTTACTTTTTTTACTTAACTACTGTTGGTTAATTTGACGGTTCATTTGGGATTCTTGGTATATTATTCTAAATTTGAATCTCTAAGACTACTAATAAAGTATAATTATTAGAAATTTATATGACCGTTAACTTTAAAGTCTTGAAAGATTAATCGAGGTTCGAGCCTTAAATAAAATAAAATAAAAAAAACATCTTTACTTTATAACCGATTACATTTGAACTGACTCTGTAAAAGTGTAAAGTACTCTGAAAGATAATAAATCTCAACGTAATGCTTGTCTGATTCAAGCATCAATTCCATTAAAACGCTGGTACTTACCATGTTCTACTATAGTTAATTTTGACCTGATGTTGAAAGAGTTGGATACGTTAAATTTATCTAATGTACTCAGTAATGGTTCACTTCAGCTTGCTTTGGCATTAGAGGTTGGAGACATGAATAGCATTAAGGGTGGATAGTAAGTACCCATCCAAATACAGTGAAATGAGCTTTTAGTAAACTGAAAGTTAAAAAGAAGAAGATGATAAAGAGGAGAAGTCTAGTCGAGAGCAGAGAGCACGTGTTTTGAAGAAAGGCCATGGGCCGATGTGAGAGGGCGACGAAATTGTCAGGCCCTTTTCTTCCATCAGC